GCGTCTAACAAAAGTAATTACTCTTTGGGATTATTAAAGTATGTCTGATTCTGATTTGAATACATTTATTGGGAAAATGTGTTTTTCTCTGACCAAACAGTAAAGAAGAACAATGGATACCAGAATCTTTGGGTGTTTTTGCCACCATCAACAAAGAGCTCATTTATGAGAAAGTTACAGGACATTCCTATTACTTCATGTGTCATCATCGTAGTAAAGTCCAAGAACAACTGTGATTGGCTACTGAGCAGTCTACCTAAAATGACCATATTTGGGAGGTCGGTCTGACGGGGAGCCAGTCAGCCCCATAGATATTCAGCCCCCCCCGCTTACCGGAAGTGAGTCACGCTTACGGCAACGTTTCGTCCCTGTTGCAGCAGAGTAGAGAACAAGGAAGCAACATGTGCGAAACATAATAACTCCAACGAAGCACCAGAGCGGACCAAGAGGCGAACACGAACCTATTCTAAGTTTCCTTCTAAAAGGACACGTTTTTATTAAAGGTGAGTATTTTATTCCTTCTACTTTAGATAGTATGTTTCATGAACAAAGTAGATATCCTAACAGTAGTTTTAAAAATGTAAATCATTTCTACTTATTGAAATATTTTTACTTTTATCCTGCTATTTATAATTGCTTGAACCAGTATATATATATATATATATATATATATATATATATATATATATATATATATATATATATTTATTATTATTATTATTTTTTTAATATATAAAATGAAACGAACTTGTTTTTCGGTAACTTAAAAATGGGAATTGTTGTTCCGAGGTTCGTAGGCTGGTTTCTGTCAACTCTCTGAGTTTCCACCTGGGGTTTTCCGCTCAGTCGAAAAAAAAAAGTTACCTACTGTGGGTTTTTTCTGTCTGTGACACAGTTTTCCTGTTAAAAAAAAAAAAAAAAAAAGTATCATACAAAGCTCAGTTTAAAAAATAGGTTTAGTACTGCTGTTTTTGAGTTACAGTGAATATTCTCACATCCACGCAGTAACACGTGCCTCCAGTACATCACGTTGTGTACACCCTGCTTTGTCTCCGCTTGGGTCACCAAATACATCTGATTTAAACAAAAGCAAAACAGCTTAAATGTTCTTAAATCTGTTTTCTTTATCTGTCTAATGTAATTTGCCGTAGATATTTTTTATTTACTTGTATTTAATTGTAGGATGAGAAAATAGCCACTTTAGAAAGACTGAAGCTCATTATCTCTGCCTGAATCTAATCAAAGTGTTTGAGAATACACATTTCCTGATGATGTGACTCTAGACAGTGTTTAGAAACCTGCTGGGGTTTGGGGAGCTCAGCCTTTTAAAGTGTTGATTAGATCAAGTGTGAAGAGTCAGATCAGGAGTATTTAGAACAACAAGCAAGAACATCAGCATCATTTGTTTGATAGAAGCCAACAGCAGAGGACTGAACAATCAGGTCTGTGTCTGAAGACACATTCAGTTCTCTTCCAACATCAAAGAAAATAACTTTTAACTTAAATGATAAGAAATGGTAATAATCATGCATTGCCTTATTGAAGAAACTGGCTGAGATTTCTCACAGTGATTACCTTTAAGGTATAATTCAAACTGCTTCTATTAAAAACAATAAAGCCACAATAATCCCACATATTAGTTTACACATAATTTAGTCTTCAAATAATTATCAATTGAACTGAATGTTATTTTTCACATTTTTTTTTTTTTTGCGAAACAAAGGCTCTTTGAGCCAAGGCTATCCAGCTGTTTGCTAAGCCTGTAACACCAGCTTTGGCTTGTGGTTTTACAGCAGTATTAATATTATATGATTGTTGCCACAGCATTGTTTTTTTCTCTTAGGCGTTATATTTGGCTGCTTTGTGTGAAGAATGAAAGTGTGGTAGTTTTTTTTTCTTTCAATTGGCTCACTGGCAGTGCTCACCATCAGCATCATGTTGCTGTATAGGTGCTAATGTACATTTGAGCAACTTTAAAAGGGCAGGTTTCAAAAAATACTTAACAGTTGCTTCCCAAATCCTAGTTAAAGTAAAGCAATAAAGGAATTTTTTCCACACAAAAAGCTATTAGATGCCAGAAAATACATGTGAACTCTTATAATAAAGTTATGCCACAAAAATGTAACTAGCAGTAGTTGAAAGCTTAGTGCAATGAAAGCATAAATCCTGTAGTACAATCTTATAGCCAGCATAGGCTGATTGGAGATTTTCACTCTGTGAATTTGTTTAGATAAATCACTGTATGATTCAAGACAATTTTAAACAAGAAGAGTGCATTTAATTATTGGTTCATAAATGGATAAACTTGGTTATTGTTATAGCTGTTATACTAATTTGGATTATTTTCTTTTGATTCAAATAAGTTTGGGAAGTATAAATACGTAAATATGAGCTGGCCTGGTGTTGCCTCAAGGTCCCCCCAGAGCAGCTGGAAGAAGTGTGCTTTGATTGGGAAGTCTGGGCATCTTTGCTTAGACTGCTGCCTCCACGACCCGGCCCTGGATAAGCGGAACAAAATGGATGGATGGATATATAAGAGCTGTAACAAATAATCGGATTAACCGTGATTAATCGATTTTTGAAATAATCATCAACTAATTCAGTAATCGATTAATCGTTAACTGGAGTATAGAGGCTCTAAAACATGCCGACCCACCTTGAGCAGCAATTAAACCAAAATTGTAAACAAAAATACTACCCTAAGCATTTGCATTTTAGATAAGATTTGTATGTCGATATGCTGTATCCAGAACTCCTCAAGGGGAAAAGTTTTAGTTTCAACTGGATTCATTTCGTAAAATATTTTTAAGGAACTTTTGGCTATCCGTTTATAAATCGATTAATAAAAAAAAAAAAGTCAACAGATTAATCGATTTGCATAATTATCTTTAGCTACTGCCCATATATATATATATATATATATATATATAAACGCCCAATAAATTGGTATTAGAGTATGTATTAGCGTGAATTATATCCTTTCTTTAAGAGCAATGATATGAAGATACTACCTTTAATTTAGCCTGAAAATTACTTTTAGTCTAAAGGAATGGCATAAAGTTGATATTTTGAAACTATTCCTTTATAAGCTGTCTGTTTATATTTCAGGTGGGGTTTTTTTAATAGCCAACTCAAATGAATAATATACGGTGGTGTTAGAAGTTATTTAGTTATTAGCTTTTATTTAATCAATGCCTATTAAGGTTTGCATCTTCAGTTGTACTTCTGCCTCTTTAGGTCAGCACAACATTAAAATGACGAGGCGGATGGAACCGAGGAAAACAACTTTAAATAGAAAGCTTGTTATTTTCTTTGAAGACTTATTGGCTCGTGTTGCAGCTGCTATTTTGCTGTCTAAACACAAGGCTGGGTAACGCATGTTTGCTCTCACGTAATCGCCTGAGCACTTGTCAGGGATCTGAAGTCGTTGGCTTGTTGTGTCTCTCTTGCCGTTCTTGAGGTAAAGGCTGTGTCTGCGTTTCCCAGAACAAATAACAATTTTCCATCAGAACACATCACACAGACTGTAGCCGCAATAACAAAACAGCCGTCTGCACCACAGAGGTTCAAGGTGTCAGTCTTCTGTCAGGGCTGCAGGATGTTCGCACACTCTGCGTTAGGTTAGGGCAGCAGCACAGCCCGAACCGCTTTGGTCAACCTGCCCCAGCAGCTCTTACTATCAGAAGATAAACAGCACAAAAACAACAAGGTATTTACATTCACTTGGCAAGGAAGCATCAGCTAGTTTGCGTCTCGTTTGCATGTGTACTGTGGATTTTTACAAGCGTGGAAACAAGTCAAACATCTGTGAACCCCACACAGTTTTCCACATGCCCTGTCTACTATTTACTATTTTTCTTTTGTTTCTACTCCTCCTAAGCCCATTAAACAGAAGTCAAAGCGAATACGCAGAAAAGTGGAGCTAATCAGGAGGGTTGGTGATTTTTAAATTGTTTATTTTTTCTTTTTCCAGAAAAAAAATGAAGAGAGAAGTAAAAGCCGGAGTCGACTTCATTAAGCGCCTGGTGGTGGCCCGAGGGAAGCTTGATGAAGCCAAAGCAGAGCTGTTCTCTCAGAAGCTGCAGAAACTTTTATCTGACAAATACTGTGACCATTGGTATCCTGACAGCCCTAGCAAAGGCCAGGCTTACAGGTAGGCATCATTGTAAAGTCTACTTTCCAAAATATTCAGAATTGAAGCTGATTTGTTCCGGAGGATCAGGTTTTCTATACTAATATTGATGCAAACATTGACAGATGTATCCGGATAAATAACGGTGGACCTTGTGATGAGGTGGTGCTTAAGGCCTGTGAGGAGAGCGAGCTCACGCCCAGCAAACTCGGGCTTTCACCAGAGATAACGCTTTGGATCGACCCACTGGAGGTGTCTGTAAGGTGAGTCACCGGCTGGCCTGTTCTGGCAACACACACCACAGACAGACATGTTGCAACTGTGAGAGTTCAAGCAAGAATTATGAGTGAGTCATGGCAGGTGTGTATTCCCTGAGGGAAGGTGTTTTGAATCATTAATGTAGAACTAGAAGTGACTGTTTTTTTTTTTTTTTTTAATGACTCATTTTCTCTTTCTCAGGTCTGGGGAAAACGGCAGACCATTTACAGTAACTCAGTTCAGCAAAGAAGAGGAGACCACAGAAGGCCAGGACGACTCCTCCGTAACCCTAGACACGTCTGATTACCACTCAGCTACCTCGTCAGACTGCAGCTCTGCCTCCTCCAGCGACACAGAGGAGGAAGCCAAGGATGGAGAGCTGAAGGAGCAGAGGAAACTGGCGGAGCACGCAAAAAAGGAGGCAGCAGAAAGCAACGCCTCCACAGTGACGATGGTGCCCAGGATCCGCAAGGGGAACGGAGACGCACAGAATAAAGTCAAATATGTCAGAAAGAAGGTAATTTTTTGTTTTAAAGACATTCTATTGATTTGTAGCTTAAGGATCTGATGAGGCCGTTTGTCTGTGCTGTAGAGCTTCATTTTTGTCTGAAAAATGCTAAGCATGTTCTCTCATTATGGGGGTGGGGCACTTATTGGTACATAAAGATCAGCTGCCATAATTACTTGTTCAAGTATCTTATGACAAAACTTTGGAATCCATTTGGAAAGCTGATCTATCTCCTCTGTTCTGAATGGATCAATGGGCCTTTTCAATTGCTGCTCAAACTTCTAAAATAAAATAAGTTTTGAGTGTGTCATACCGTCTCCTATGAATTGACCCATGGCGTGTGACGGAGAGTTAAAACATGCCTAGAAACTGATTTACAGAGAAGGAAATTCTGGGAGCCCCATATGGCCGTGTTATCTCTGCTACACCATGCAAATGAGGAAAAAGGTCACGTTTGTCGCAGGACATTTTTACATCTATGTGAGATGAGCGTAGTCCAAATGTCTTATCTGATTATGCATGCAAAAAAAAGTGCTATTTGTCTTTTTATTGTTTTTTTCTTAACACGCTGCTATTAAAACAAATTTTATTGATTTTGGATATGAAAACTACAATGAGTTATGTTTCTTCATAAACAATTTTATGAATCCCTAAAAGGAAAAAAAATATATATTTTTTCTTTTTTTCGGTCAGTCAGCATTTAGTCAAACTCTCAAAGTTTTTTGTTTTCTTTTTAAATAAAGGGAAATTTGCTGATCTCTCATAACCTCTCCTATCTGTTTATTAACCAGGTTCCAGCCAGCCTCCAGTACTTCTACCATCCCACACCGGTTTGGTCCCAGTATAAGAAGGGCGCTCCGGTGTTTCTGACCACAGTGTGTGCTTCCACAACGACGCCTCCTCCACCCCAGCAGGTTTTTGGTTACTACATCGTGCCGCAGCCGTCTCCACAGTTCATTCTGCCTCAGGCCGCCATGCAGCCGTGGGGAGCAGTGAAGGGTTAAAGCGTCCCATCGATGCGGGGAGGGAGGGGTGAAGCCAGGCGGAGCATTATGCCTCTCGTTTAACTGAGCCATGTAGTGAAGAGTGTTTGAGTTTAGCTACAATAGTGCTACAAAGAGTACATTTTTAAAAATTATCATGTTTAAAGCCATGTCTTGCACATTCTTTAATTCCTCTGCTAACTTGTAGTTTTTATACCACTGAACAAGAGCTATGACTTTTTAATCTGCTAGTGTCTCTGCACTGCATCTTTTTTGTAAAATTACTTAATTTATTTAGAATAACTTCAATCACAGAATACGTGGACCATCTCAGGAACTCTCAGCAATATGCTTTATGCCAAAGAAATTTATAATGTAATGATCTTTACCAAACAAGGTTCTCTCTGCACATGATACTGCTAATCTTTGTAAAATGCAATTCAGGGTCTCCATGTATTTTCCTTACAATGGCAATTCTGTATATTAAGACTATGATTTCTACTAAACAGCTTGTGTATATATATATAAGAACTTGCATATGCACGCTTTCTAAACTTTGTATTTTGTAATTTATTATCACACCAGTAGATGGTGCTCAAGTTGCATTTATTTATAGTCCGCTATGTTTTTCATGATGATCAGCATCTGTATAATGCCGTACATTACCTCTTTCTCATTGCTTTGCTTTTTAAATTATTGTAAATTATAATTATCTGCTGCAGCTATATAAAAGGATGCAAACACCTGCTTTACTCACTAAACTCTGTGACGACTTGGATGAATATTTATTCAGTGTCTTGACAGTTTTAAGCTTGTGTTCATTGATTTGTTTACCATTCAAAAGTACCTCTTTTACTGCAGATTAAAACAAACTTTTACTCAAATGTTTGGCCTGTGATTTTTTCAGACTCATAGCTCCCACAGCAAGGCGTTGTGTGTTTTCTTCCTCAAGTATTTTTCAAGAGGACACCTGTTAGTCTGAACTCAAACTCATCCTGTGTTGCAGAAGTTTTCATCAGGAGCAGGATGCTACAGGGGAAAGACTCCCTTGTGTTTGGCATGTCAAGCCAAGGCCATTATGTTATTCTTCCGTCTTTCTCTTGGAAGGCTGGGCTTCAAAATGTATTCTCTGGATATGACCGAGTCAATAAATAGATCAAGCTACTTTTAGATTATTTTGAGTTTCTATAAATAAGCAATAAGACATACTGGTTCTATTGGCACTGTTTCACTTTGCCTGATCTCAGATGGAAATAATCTACAGGATCTTAATGTGTACCACACTGTTATTTGCTGGCTTTTATAATTCAACTTTAAGTGGCATCTGTTTGTATTAAGAATTTTACCAGAATTTTGTTTCAAGATCTTCCAAATGTAACAAACCAAATCTGATCACGTTCGGTGAAAGCAAAGATAACTTAGAGCCTTCAGACAGTGTTACCATGTGTTTTGTCTTGAGATTAAAGCTCGCCTTGCCTGGACTGTTTTGCCTGGAAGTTATGCAGTTATTCCATACTCTATTGATTTATAGATACTAGTTGAGCAGTCTTCTTGGAGAGGATTAAAACTTGGTATGATCCTTAAAAGATCTCCATAATTATCCTTGCATTTCTGATGTGTTTATTGGTTTTTATTCACAATAATACAATTAATCTCACATTGGAGAAATTTACCATTTAACCCATCCCATGGGAGCAATCGGGGTTAAGGGTCTTGCTTAGAGAGAGTGAGGCTTGAACTCAGAACCTCAGGAATCCAAGCTCTATGCCCTACACTGAAAAAAGTGTAACATGTAACTTCATTCAAACTAATGCCTGGGAACTTTCTGCATGGAGTTTGCATGTTCTCCCTGAGCATGCGTGGGTTCTCTCTGGGTACTCCGGCTTCCTCCCACAGTACAAAAACATGATTGTTAGGTTAATTGGCTTCTCTAAATTCTCCATAGGTGTGATTGTGTGTGTGAATGGTTGTGTTGTCCTGCGATGGACTGGAAACCTGTCCAGGGTGTATCGCGTTTGTAAAATAGGAAATGGAAATCACTTTTGAAGTAAAGTCAGACGGTATGTGAAAAATCTAATTTGGTTATATTTAAATGAACTGGTTTCTATACAAACATTAATTTTTGTTTATTTAGTTAAAAGTAGGTATATGAGGTTGGTCCAATGTCAATTTATTAGTTTGGTTCATCAACTGAAATGTTCAGAAAATCATTTGGAACAGGGCAAAGATTTTAAGTTGTGTCAAGTGCAATATTATTGTTTACATCAACATAATATAATCAGTTCATAACAACCGATTAAATTCGGATTCTGTGAAGTCAAATATTTTAGATCTGACATCTGGACATAATTTTTTTTAGTTTGAGCAAGGTTATCCTTCCAGTGTAACCACCAGGACTCCACTCCCTCTACCTCTTGTCTAAAGAGGTAAGCAACCTCTTCTGTACAGACAGTAATAAGAGCAAATCATTGCCAAGTTTTATTTGTAAAAATAGAAAACAGCTATATGTTATCATCCATTTAAGAGATATTGTGCTTTGTGTTTATACGCCAGAAAAAAACAAGGCATGACAGATGGTTGTGAAAACTTTTAAGCGCATCAGTACCTTTACAGGTCGCTCTGATTCTTTCTTGCTTCTTTGATGTTAAGCAGCATATGAAACCTTGCGAACAGGCATGAAGATTCCACCCTCGCGTGCACCATTACGCGCTGACGCACGGTCTTAGAATAACAAGCAAATAAGAGCGCGCAGCCCTGTGCTGTGAGCAGATGGCGTCAGTGGGCATGACCGTGAGGCGCCGGGTTCCTTCAGCATCACCGATCGTTGCTATAACTCCGTAACTCCTGCAAGCAAGAGTCCACACAAGGTCCCATGCTCAGTTCCTCCGCCGGGCGATGCCTTCCCTTTCTCGGAGGGACTCAGCAGCGGAGAGCGGATGGGTGGATGACGGAGAGGCTGAGAGAGGACGGGACGGCGGAGGTCTGGAGTGCGCCCTGGAGATGGAGCTGACGGACCGCAGCCTGTCGAGGAAGATGGACTGCATGAACTGCGACGACCTGCTCCATCGAAACTGCGCGGAGTCCGCAGAGGTTTCGGTGCCGCTGTCCACCATGGGGAAGCGGGTGACTCACATGGAAGGAGACGACCTGTGCAGACTGATAGACAGAAAGTTCCTGATAGAGGACAAGAAGCGTCTGTGCGCGCTGGCTCTGGGCACCGCTCTGCTGGGGATCCTACTGATGATTGTCCACGCAGAAATATGCCCCTATGTTAATGAACCGGTAGGTTGGACACACTATATTATGATGAGTTAACAGTGTGTTTAACTATCTATACAAGCATCCTTCTATTATTTGATTTTTAACCGGTGCTCAGTAGGTAAACTCATGTATATTGGGATAAAATTAAATATAGCCTAGTATTAACCCCCCTCTCTTGAGAGTGAGTAATATGTCAATTTATGTGCTTAGAAGTGTCACATTATAGATACCTTCCATGAGTAAGGCAAAATGTTTACAATATTATAAACATTATTATTATATAAAAATATGAATACATTTTTTTTATATAGTCTAAATCATTTAATGCCCATTAAAGAAAACAATATCGTAATTGCAAATGATGCAACTGACCCCAGGACTGGGGTCAGTTGCATCATTTATTTATTTATTTATTTAATTTATTTATTTTGTAAATAAAATGTAAAAAAAAACATACATCTCACTGATGATTTTTACTATTGTTATTGGAAAAATCTGTGAGCATATTAACTTTTATTTTGTCCATTTTCAGTAAAAGCATTTAACATGAAGCATTTACTTTTGAGAGAACCACCACAAATGTACCTTTTCCAAAACCACTTTGGAAAACCACAACTTAAAAAAAAGCAACTGTATATATCCAACTATAAATCTACCATTAATACCACATTATCTACTTAGGTAAAGGACAACTAAATGTTGCATCTATTAAGATCATAACATCACAAAAATTCTATGTATATATATATATATATATATATATATATATATATATATATATATACACTTTTTCAAGTCAGGAGACTTGACCAAAGCACTTTACACTACATTCATTCATTTACAAACACTAATGGTGGCGAGCATTAGAGCCAGCTGCCCTGGGGCTCACTGACAGAAGCAAGGCTACCATGCACTGCTGCCCACTCAGACTACCACCAGTAGAGAATGCAGGTAAAATGTGTTGCCCAAGGAGACAACAGCACTGAAAGCCGGAGCTCGAACCGACAACCCTCCTATTGCAGTGCAAACTCCTGCACCCGACGCCACTGTCGCCCATATATGTTATATAAATACATTGTAAATATGTAAATATTATTCTAAATATATGTTCTAAATATGTAAATATATAGATAAATATTTGCCTTTTTACAGCCTTGATAAAACCTTGCACTTGCTAAACTCTGTGATCTTGATGCTAAACATATTAACTAAAAGTAAACCTTTCACTTGTTTAAACCATATAGGTTTAAGCTAAATCACACAATCAGTGACAATAGCATAACAAAAACAGTAGTGTGCAGTATGAACATCACTCTAGCTGGTTTCTGATTGGAGGAAAATGACCTGTTCTATGAATGTCCCAGTTTCCCTATCCATGCGGACCTATTATAATTTGTATGACATTAGAATTGTAAAATGTACAACAAAACAACAAAACATGTGCAATAAGTAACAACCTTTTAACTGTATTTCTTGTGATGATGGCAACGGTCACCTTGTTTGGAGGGAAGCCTATCATTCTACTTCAATAGAATGAATGAATAACTATCCCGTAAAATCACAAATGAAACACATGCAAACATTTTGTATAATCAATGATTTTTATAATGTAGTAGTTCTGTTTTAAAAGGGGTGTGAAGAGGAAACACCTTTTCAATCATACTCATTCTCCTTCCTATCGTCCTTAGCACTAGCAGTCTTCCTAATTCCTTACTTTACTTTATTTAGTCTATACATATTAACTGTCATGATTTTATCTAAGGCTCGGACCCACATGCACTGACACCAAACAGAGAGACACGGATGAAAAGTTTGACGGATTTTATTGAAGATGTTAAGCTCGGTGCAGAGTTTCCCTGAACTCTGCTCAGCCAGAACTGGAAGGCGAGGGGAAGACAGACTGTTAGTTAAGGCTCAGTGGGACATTTGATTCGTTGATCTTGAAGGAGAGAGGATCTGATTGTTGACTCACGTTTCCAGAGAAGTGAAGGATCCGTGACTCCAAGCTGTGTGTTGGTTTTCCAGTGTATGTCTGATTCGGCGGAGGGCAGAACAGGGTTTACCTAGAACTCGGACGGTGTAGGGGAACGGAGAAGCTGATTGCCACTCAGATTTCCTGTTGTACTTGAATGGGTCGTGGTGAAGATGATTCCCTTGCTCAGAGAGTAATTTCAACGTCCTCAAAAAGGGAGACTGGATCCAAACCTCCTGTTTGAATCCCAGGCTCAGTTTAAGACTGATCCCTCCTGGGAGAGGAGGTCCGAAAAGGTCCAGTTTGCAGGATGACTTCCTGCCGAGAGGCAAAGACAAAAAACAAAGTTAAAACTCTGCGAGACAAGAACTCAGTCTTACTCAGAGAAAACTCAGCTTGGCTAGAGTACCATAAACTGGCAAACACTCTGGCGTCGAGGTAGTGGCAATCAGCAGCTTAAGAGAACTCCATTAATGAGGTAACCATCAGCAGGTGTGTGAGGAGGCAAACCGGAACCAGGCGCCTCCTGTTGGTGGAAGGGAGACAAACACAAAAACAAACACACAGACAGGAGCCCTGACATTAAAGGTACACTATGCAACCGGTGTTGATTTTCCAGCGAGGCTCCCCCCAGAG